TGTTCTCACTCGCCAGTAGAACTGCTAAGTCCTGGTTTGTGTTTGTTTCCGTCTAGTCCGTTTTGACAGTTGCTACCGGTATTTAGCTGCGTGCTTGTTCCTGCCGTGCTGCCTGCCTTGGACTGTTTGTGAGCTATATTATCATTAAATCTTCATCATCACCATAACCTGGGTCTCAGAGTCTCTCCTCACCACCACCGACCACACCTCATGACAGAAGGACCCGACCACAAACTACGGACGCCAGGACTAATCCCTGGTGGGGTACGCGGCTAGTGCTCTGCCCACCAGGGGTCGGACCCCGCCGCCATTGCTGCCCTGAGCCGCCGGAGGTCCCGGCCCCTGGGCACAGACGTCACCACCGCCCTGAGCCGCCGGAGGTCCCGGCCCCTGGGCACAGACGTCACCGCCGCCCTGAGCCGCCGGAGGTCCCGGCCCCTGGGCACAGACGTCACCGCCGCCCTGAGCCGCCGGAGGTCCCGGCCCCTGGGCGGAAACCCCGCTGCCTAAAGCAGCCGCCCGTCCCTGCACCGAGGCGAAACTCCCACTGCCTGCAGCTGCCTCCGGTCCCCGCACCGAGGCATCGTCTGTTCCCGCAGCCTCCACAGCGTCAGTCCCCGCTGCCTCCGGTCCCCGCACCGAGGCATCGTCTGTTCCCGCAGCCTCCACAGCGCTTGTCCCCGCTGCCTCCGGTCCCCGCAACGAGGCAGCGTCTGTCCCCGCCGTGGCAGGTCTCCACGTCCGCTGCTGCTCCGCCTCTCTGTCTTCTGCCCCCCGAGTTTCCTGTGCTCGCTCCCCCCGAGTTTGCGGACGAGCCTCCGTCTCCCAGTGCTCCGTCCGAGCCTGCTCCAGAGTTTCTTGTGGCTCCGCCCCCTCAGTTTGCGGACGACCCCGATCCCCCAGAGTTTCCAGAGCCCCCTGCCGGCGCTCCAGAGCCCGCTCCGCCCGAGCCTTCAGCCGGCCGTCCTGCCGGCGCTCCAGAGCCCGCTCCGCCCGAGCCTTCAGCCGGCCGTCCTGCCGGCGCTCCAGAGCCCGCTCCGCCCGAGCCTTCAGCCGGCCGTCCTGCCGGCGCG